TTTCTATAACAGTTAAACACATATGACAAATTTACAATGAACAAAGACTAAAGACAAAAGTAGTCAAGATAACCGTTCTTTGTTTTCCTTTTCGTTTCCGACTATTTTATAAATATCTCAAAAAGTTGGTACATTTTCTTGTTTTCTATATAGCTCGACCGGTTACTTATTGCCCTCTGTAATAAATTCAAACGCATTCTATAGATAGTAAACCTTAATCTCAGATGAATTGGAATTTAACTACTTTAACGGTACGGCCTTTTTAAACCAGGCCTCAATTGCGGCGTATCCAAGTGTCCCTCAATAAGTCCAAACAGGGATAACGGTTGGAACGGTTAATGTTTCGCTATTAAAGAGCTTGTAGGACAGCTTTCCTATCAAAAACTATTCGTAAAAAATTTAACCAAAATTTTCAACATTCCTTTTCAGATGTAAGATGAATTTACGAACTTTGAATGAAATTACGAAAGGTTGAAAATAAAACAAAATTGCTGAAATTGATTTTAAATTCTCTCTCTTTCTCTCACTCTCTATGCAGGGAACCAGTAAAAATGAACAAAGGCAATCTGTAGATATTGGCAGATTAAGTACGTAATCTGTACAAATCTTGGGCATGCAGGACATTTTTTAATAAAGTGTCTCTGAACACTCGACTTCTTCAGCCCCCAGATCTGTGGTGCGTAGCATAAAATTGCTCGTAATGCAGATCAAACACCTTATATTTTACTGTAAGAGAAGGCATATCATCTTTGTTTATGAAGGAGTTCCACACCGTCCTTAGGCCTAGTTTACTGGTTCTATTTTTTTCTTTTAATGTTTTCGAAATGAAGTCTCTCTTTCCCTCCTCTTTCTCTTACTCACTTCCCCCCCTCTTTCTCTTACTCTCTTTCCCTCCTCTTTCTCTTACTCTCTCTCACTCTCTCTCTCTCTCTTTCTCTCACTCTCTCTCTCTCTTTCTCTTACTCTTTCTCTCTCCTCTATCTACCTATATCTTTCTACCAATCTATGTCTCAATCTAACTATTTCTATCTTTATGTATTTAGCTATCTAACACTTTCTAAATTTTCTCTCTCATACTCTCAATTTATCTCTCTGTCTTTTGCCCTCTGACTGTCCGTCAGTTTGTCTCTCTCTCTCTCTCTCTCTCTCTCTCTCTCTCTCTCTCTCTCTCTCACTCTCTCTCCGAACGGAGTCAAAATGCATTAAGTCCGATGATGACTTAAAACATTTAACCAACTGGGGAATTTTCACATAGTATAAAAATTAACACATCAAAATGTAAGGTCATTCTAATTGGTCACTCTCAGCTCATTTACAGAATAAAGCTTACAAATATAGTAAAAACCTTCCTTTTGAAAACAGTGTTGATCATCTTGGTTTTACTATAACTAACACTCTATCATAGGGACCACAAATAAATAAAATACTTTAAAAAATATACACAAATATGTACGCTATCAAAAATTATTACCCTACAAAAAACCTGATATGTACACCTCAAAACTAATTATTTCTTTAGTAATGACAGGTTCATTACAACATAGTCGTCATGAGTGATCTCAAATATACTTTAGAAAATAAACTTCACACAAAACACGTGCATCCGTTATATCCTTAACCTAATATATGATTCTAGCATATATGATAAATTTTTGGTATTAAAAATGTTAAAAATTAAACACCTATAAATCTATTCCATAGCAACCTTTTTAAATAAAATACTACAAACTATTTGTATTTTAATAAAATTAATAAGTAATAATAATGAAGTAATTATACATAATTACTTAATGATCTCCCAAAACACAGAACCAAAACACTTTCATTCATTTAAAATAAAAGCTTCAAAAATCATTAACACAAAACCGAAACATATAGTTCAAATAAAAATCATAAAATCATTCCAAGTAAAACTTAAAGAATACTTTTAAGTAAATATGTTGAATATAATTCTACAAATTAGTATTTAACTATTTACCTTATTTAATATTTATGTAGTTAACATTACATCATATACTTATATACTTTTACTTATTACTTTATTATTCTTTTTTTATTATATACTTTTATATTAACTTGTAAAATGTTATTTATCATTTTACTAGTATTTTATTTCATTTTCAAATCGAAAATTATGTATCAATTCTAAAACGTTCTAATCTAGAATGTACGAATCTTCCGAAAAATCTATATCTAATTTTGTTACTCTACAACTTAATATATAAACAACAAATTATAAATTTTATATGATCTGTATAAAAATATAACTTATAAGTTCAACTTACTCTGATTTACTTCATTGTTGATTTTACAATAATTTGTTATTTCTATTTTATACCTGTTGTATAATAAACAAATTATAATGGTAATTACCGTTAAGTGTAAGAAAAAGTTCTAGAGACCTAACTTTTGCGTTTATTTTAACAAATAAATCTTACCCAATCTCCCTCACTATCAAACCCTCTCTCTCTCTAGCTCTCTCTCTTAATCACTCACTTTCTCTCTCTCTCCCTCTCTCTCTCGCACTCACTCACTTTCTCTCACTCCCACTTTCAATTTCAATATCTCTCACTCACTCTCTCTCTTATTCACTCACTCACTCTCACTCTCAATTTCAATCTCTCTCTCACTCACTCTCTCTCACACTCACTCTCAAATTCAATCTCTCTCTCTCTCTCTCACTCTCACTCACTCACTCACTCACACTCTCAATTTCAATCTCTCTCTCTCTCTCTCTCGCTCTCTCTATCTCTCTCTCTCTCTCTCTCTCTCTCTCTCTCTCTCTCTCTATCTATCTATCTATCTATCTATCTATCTATCTATCTCAATCTCTATCTATCAATGAAATTGGAATCTGTCTATTTATCTATCTAGCTACATATCTGTACGAGTATCCTACACACAAAAATCTGTTTTATTTTAATTTTTCAAATTCAATTTCAACTTCCTCATTTGTAGCTTTGAGTGAAAACAAACAGAAAAAGTGCACTATTTACTTAAATGCCTGTTTGGACAGGCGAAAGCTTTTAAAACATCGAGGACACTCCTTTTATCGGCGCGGCTCCGCGGGTCTCGTCGAATTATGAAAACCCGGCTCCTTGTTGGACGGGATGATCAAGACATCTGGCTCTTATCTGTTGGAAGTTCTCGAGTGGAACACGGCCCCACTTGAACGGAATTTTAAACACCACTTTTATTCACGGTCTATTTCGGTGAGCGTTTTCATTACGACTTTTGGGTCTCTGAAGGCCGAAAGAAATGTCAGCCGAAACTTGCATTCGGTAAGCTTAAAAACACAATGATCAAAATGGCCGGCGTAAGACTTTACGAACAATTAGGTATAATATCCCACAAAAAAAGTGTGTTCTAAACATTTTTTTACTTAAAAAAGCTCAAGAAAGTTCATTTTACGTTTACCTACAAAAAACCTTGCCATAAATACTCTTTACACATTGTAAATTAATACAAAAACTTCTACCTAATAATATATACATTTGTGTGCATACATATAAATACAGGAGAATCAATAATTCTATCCCTAAGACCATCTTTAAATACTATAAACCACAGCTTTTTTCCTAACCTTAAAGTTTTATTAATAATTCATTTACGTGACCATTGACTAAGTTAATTCTTTCAATCAATTAATTGTTCTTTCTATATAAGGTCTTGGTTGAGATAAAAACGTCAGTGTCACGACGGGATTCGAACCCACGACCTTCGGCTAAATGCGCCTCTACTTGCGGCTTGCGCTGCAACTTGAGCTATCGAGACTTCGATCCTCTCGGACACCAACTCTCCATCTCAACCTACAACTGTTCGAATTTTCCCTCTTTTTACCATTTTCAAATGTCTTGTATTATATCGGTTATACTTAACCGAGGAGTTGTACATATAACTATTTGGAGTAATTTGGCATACTGCGCCCTTTGCGAGCTATTGTATCCCTGGTTCTATACCTATAGCACATAGGCGAGTCCCAAGTTCATCATGGAATTTGTTTATTAGGCTAAACTTTAGTGGTTTATTTTTATTTTATTTTATTTTTTAGACACTCCAAAACATTTCCTCCTTGCGATAAGTGTATCACTAAACATGTTTTGTGATTATTTGATCAGATTAATATCTATGCCGTCATCAAAATACCCTTATTTAAAAGCTGCTCAAAGTATCAACTGCTAACATAAAGGACCCAAATAATTAATCATAAAAAATGTAGATTTAAAAAATTTCATAAGGGAAGGAAGATGAAGCCCAGTATTGATTGTTAAACGATTTGAAAATTTGCACAAATATAAAAAATTAAATTGTGTCAATATTTTTCTTTTTATCAATTCTATTGGCATAGCTATTAAAGATATGTTTATTTCTTGTTGTATGCATTTAGAAATATTATTTTTATATTAATTTAAACTTCTAGCAGACTGAACCAGCGAAAATAGAATTTGGAAATTAACGGTTGAACTGATCGAGTCTGTTCTTGCGTTTCGACATCACAGGATCTTTAAAAAAGAGATACCGAAGGTGCTATGCCCACCTCAACGCAATGTTTATCAATATAAAAAAGTTTAAATACCCCTTATTGTTAATCAAGAAATGATCAATAAATATACAACAAAAATTTGCAGTAATAAGAGTAATCTTTGTTTGGGTGATATTTTTTCATTTACACACATGTTTAAGCCGTACTCTTGAAAAAATAAAATATTTTTAAATGAATAATTATTTGCATAAAATCTGCTATTGTTATCTACTAAGATTATAAAAAAGAAGTTCTATAACTCAAAAATAAAAAGATATAAAAGAACCAATAAGGTAAAAAAACATGTATTTGCTTAAGTCAATGTAGCAAAATCCTCATGCACTTTAAAATAATCTGCTTCATGTTTGTTAGCGAAGCTTTTAAAGGAAGATGTAAATGAATGCAAGTCGTCCTATTTATGCTTTTTATTATTTGTAATATTAATTCAAACAGCTCTAAAACGCTTTCTATGACCGACCTCCTCGTTGTCGGAAGTTTCTTCCTGCAGAGTCGCGAGCATTTTCATTTCATCGGCAGCGGATGAAGCCTGGCTGATGGATTTGGCTGTGGTTTCTGTATCGATGGTGCAGCCCTCTCTTGAAAATCTTAGCCGTTGGGTTTTCACGACCTCCACAACTTCGTTCCTTTCCTGAAATGATGAAGATGCTGTGGTATTCCGTACAAGGTGTTACTGTTGTCAAATTACCTCATTCGGCCAGCTGGGTTTTGAATACGAGTGTTCAAATTCGGCAGCTGTGTAGTATGACGAAGTTGTCGACTCTGGTGTGCATGTACACTCACTCACAGTCCAGAATTCCTCTTCGTTCGAGCGATCATGACCGCCGTTTTCACCGCAGTCGACAGAAGTTTCTAATTCCAAACTCAAATCCCAATCCTGCAAAAAAACAATAAAATTAAAAATGAGCGAAAGCGGTGACAGTTACTTGTGCTGCATATAAAAAAGCTATAAGTTATTATTTTGAAAGTTAAGAACAATTTTCTACATTTACGTAGAATTCTTACATCTTAGAAATCTTACATTATTTTTTTGTCAAATTACTACTTTTTAATTCAAAATTTTCAATTTGAATTTGTTAAGCTTATATTTATTATTTGGAATTTCCTGAGAAACTAGACCAAAAATAAAATTTAGTTGTCTCGGGAATTTAAAAAATCCCAATAAAAAATTAACCATTGAAAAGAGAAAATTTGAAGTAAAAAAAGTTTATTCGGAAATTAAAAAGGTTGTCTGATGTTAAATAGGATTAATTTGAATTTAAAAAGGTTAATTTGAAGTTAAGAAGGGTTAATATGATGGGAAAAAGCTACAAAAAGTTGATTTTTCTTTTAATTTTAGAATTATTTTAAAATATAAAATGGGTTCTTACAATTATAAATACTACGTACAATATAATGTCAATTAAAATTAAAAGCAATGTATAATTAAATATAAAAATAATTTTTTTTTAATTTAAGAAAAATTTAAAAACTACCGCATAAAAATTAATAAAAATAAAAATTAAATGCTTAATAAAATTAAATAATTCTTGAAAATTCGTAAATTTACAGTAATTTTACTTTACATGCTTATCAATAGCAGGTATGAAAATACCATCTAATTTTTTGTAATGCTTGAAAATAAAGATTAATTTGAAATTTAAAATTGTTGCTTTGAAATTAAAAACTATTAATTTGAAGTTAAAAAGGGTTAATTTGAAATTTAAACAGGGTAATTTTGACGGAAAATCAAGATTAGTAAAATGTTGATAAAGTCAAGAAAGAGCTACAGCTTTATCATTTTTTTTAACTTTGAATCGTCACTTTGATTTAAAAAAGAAAGAAAATAAACTTAAAGTATTGTGCTTCTGTGTTTGTTTGTGATATGTGATAAAATAGTTTTGGATGTCTGACCCTACACTTATTAAATTGTTTTACATTTTTTTTGTGTTTACCTTAAATTATTTGTAATTACACGATTTGTGATCTTTTGTATCTTCGTTTTGTAAAATATTTTTCATCAGAAACACTTCCATGGTTTTCTGATTTCTGATTACACAAAATTTGGATCAAGATTGGTACCATTTTTGGAAAAAAAAATCTCGCAATAGAATACTGACTTTATTTTTTAGCTGAGGTATCTATAATCATCATTTAATGTAATCTTCAATTTTGTAGATAGCTAGACGTTCATTCACTATGTTTTGGAAAACATGAATACTTTCCATTTCTTTTTGTAACTGTTTTCACTATAAATTATTGCATTTGTGTTGTTAGGTTGATAGATTACTACTTTTTATGCTTGTGTCCTACCTTTGATATCACCTAGAGCACCCAAGTTCTTTGCTCTCGGCAATCCATCAAATGTTACCTTAGTTCTTATTATTAGGACAGCTCAGGATATATTGTTTCGCAACACAACGTGCTATTTTTATGAATTACTACCGTAGATGATTGACAAAGTTATAGTTCACTGTATTTGTTAACTGTATAAAACACCTATTATATAACGGGTGTTTTTACATACATATTAATTTTTCAAAGATTGATCGTATTTAAGACGTTTTATTATATTGGTTTCATTTTTCTTAGAATTCTAAAGGAATTGCTATTTGTAAACGCCTTTCAGAACTAAGAATGCTAAACCCGCATTACTTTTATGTCTTAAATGTAGTCTATCTTCGTGAACCTTGAATAATCTGGATCTCAGTATCGTCTAAATAAAAATTTCTTTTTTAATTTAATTTTTCTTTGCCTAGCTTTCGACCTATTTTAAGATCATCATCAGGGCAAAACAATCTTAAAGATATCTACAGATTGACATAATTGAGTTTTTAGTAAATGGTTACAAATTTAGAAATAGATTGTCCCAACATTGCCAACAAGGGCTAGTCTCATAGTTTTGCACTGTTGATGACCTTAAAATAAATCGAAAGCTTGGCAGATATTAATAGAGTTTTTTTTTCATTCAGATCAAACTGAGAACCAGATTATTCGTAAGGATCATAAAGTTAGACTACATTGAAGACACAAAAGTAATGCGGGTTTAGTATTCTTAGTTTTGAAGGCGTTTTAAATAGCTACAGAAAGTTTAATGATTATTTGGAGATCGTGAGGTGTGGTCTGGTATAGGTTTTAGAAAAACATTTTCTTTATCATGTCAACGTTTCGATCTTTATTGAAATCATCTTCAGGGTCTGGGATTTATAAACATTGTTTAAATTTTACAAATACATGTAGGATGTGAAAAAAATGAATTTATAGAATGCTAGAAAATTTTAGATTTAAAAAAATGAATTTATACAATGATAGAAAATTTTAGATTTAAAAAAAATAAAAATTAATTTATACAATTCTAGAAAATTTTAGATTAAAAAAATGAATTCATACAATGCTAAAAGGATTTTTTTTAAATGTTCACCTCCTACATGTATATGTAAAATTTAACCAATGTTTATAAATCCCTAGCACTGAAGATGATCTCAATAAAGATCGAAACGTTGGCACGATAAAGAAAATGTTTTTCTAAAACCTATACCAGACCGCACCTCACGATCTCCAAATAATAATTGGCTAACGGTCACTAAACACCACACAGAAAATTCAATCTTGAACAACAAACATCAACAAGTTAATTAATGTGTTATCTAAAGAGCTTCTAAGAAAGCATAAAAATTGAACGTATATATTATAAAAAACATTATTTATTCTATATTTTCAAGGTTATTTAATTAATGATGAAAATATTTAGAAAACCCAACTGTTTGGTTAATTTAGTACATCACACAACCTATGTACCAATTTCTTGATTTCTTTACAAACAATTTTGTCTATAGTTCATGGTTTGTTCAAAGTTTGATTTTATTTCTGTTTATAAATTTGTAAGAATGTGTCTGAGGCCTATAAACACTACTTACTTCACGCATGTTTTTCAAAGTTCTTTTTTGATAATAGTAATGTATCAGGAGAATAAGTTATTTTCAAGCCACCTACTTGAAGAGATGGCGACGGACTCTTGAGCATCTGCTCAAAGGACATGATGCCCATGACTTCTTCGTTGGGGAAGAAGTCCTCGTCAAGTTGGTCCGTAAGCGCCGTGACTCCAGCAACGCGGCTCGAAATTGCGTCCACAGTATTGTCCACCTTGCACGAACCGTTATTCCTGGAAAAAAAATACCAGCAGAAAAACTGAAAAATCTGATGAAAAAGTTTGATGTAGGTTTTTCAAGCGTTAGAAAAAAAATCACATTTCAAATACGAAGCCTGCCACAATTATTTGATTTTTTTTCGGAAGACTGTTTTTTTCTTCTGCATATAGAAAGCAAGTATCATCTCATCATACAATCATACATGATGTATGATATTCTAGCTCTTAACAGTCGTAAACAGAAACCTGAAGGCACAGGCCGAAATGCATAGGCAATATACAACAAATAAATCTCAATTAGATTAACCTTGGAAGTACAAAGAAATTAAAAACAAAGTAAGAAAATAAACCAAAAAGAAGAATAGAAAACAAATTGTAATATTATCTTCAGTAATTTACATCTTTAGCCTTCATGAAAAGGAAATGTTAAATGCCTAAAGAATTGACTTATTTATAAATTGTATGCCCTTTTATCATTTATTTCGTGTATTATCAGGTTGATGAAGAACATCATTATCACTACACTTGGTCTTGGTATTTTGATTTGTATGGATTTTCATTTTTAGCCTAAAAATTAAATAAAAGGCCACCGTGCATGAAAGTTTGACCATTAGACTATTTGACATGGCTCTTTATTCACAATTAATGGCTTCCTTGGCCGACGAATCTATCAAATCATTTTCCTATTAAATTATAATTTCCACACTTGTCCTATTATTTGACCTAATATCGTTCTTGATTGAATCGCCCTAGACCTACACCTAAGGGCGGAGGTTGAAAACCTATTGTTCCAAATAAGTAAGATGTGATACAGAGCAGGTGCACCGGTCATTTTGTCTTGGCCCATGGCCCGATCCTGAGACTATACGACCGTAGGCCCTGTCCTATTCGTGGACCAAAGGCAACGACCTTTTCCTGACCCTTGTCTAGCCCTTGCCTGCGAGCGTGACCGAAATGGCTTTGCATTTCATTCGTTTCACGTTTCTTTTCTCATCGAAGGGTTAAGTTTATCTTCATTTACACCTGTTCCTTAAGAGGAAGGCTTTGAAGGTGAGAGATGTTTAAGAACCAATGTGAAAACATCCTTAACAAAAAATGCTTAACAAATATATCTCTACATATTAAAAATACAAGACAGTACAATGTTTACTCAGAGAAATAGATCGTTTCATAATAATACCATTTCAAATATATTTAAAACCTGCAATTTTAAGAGAAAAAAATGTTTTTACTGTTAGTATATGTTTTTTCGCTGATTTACATTTTCTTTTCTGTCAAACGAAAGTTTATAACAAGAAAACAACTTGCAAGCTTATTTTATAAAACGAATTCATTGCTACAACAGTCAAATAAAAATATAAATTATCAGAAGAAAAAGTTAAATTTGTGATGTATTGAAACAGTGTCTTCTTTTCAAATACATCGTTTTGGAGTGTTCAGCGAATTTGTTTTTGGAAAGAACTTAAATTGTTTGCTGTTTTATTTTAATATATAAAAAATTTCGATTTATTTAAGAGTATAGAATACTATCTTATAGCTCTAAACTAGGCTGTTTTTTAAGCCCATACTTTTCCCTTTGTACTTCGAATAGTAGGTTGTTACAACATAGAATTTTTTGGGAATCTCGTTAACACGTCTCAATGAAAAGGTTTCTAGGGCTAACCTGGGGCTGAACAGAATCTGGTAAGTGTTTTTCTAACAAAACGACGTGACTTTGCAAACAAAATATCAGGTTTACAAAACTTTGATGCGATCCATAATTTGTTACGCAGCTTAAATTTGAGGCTATAATTGCTACAAGATTTTGGAAAGGCTTCAAACGCATTTCTTTACAAACAATACTTTCTCTAGCCCTGTTTATGTGTATTTAAAATGCAGGCATGTATGTGGTTAAAATTGATTTCTCTGTTGAACCATTTTTCTCATATACATGCCTGCATTTTAAATTTTGTTTAAGGGTGTTGTCACTTCCGGGTCATCGATTTGTAAATGCTGTAGCCAGGGAGTTGGTAAGGCGTAGGGCTCTCTGGTTTGAATCCTGGGGTATCTTGGCTCGCAATAACTCTTGTATGTTTGATCTTTCCATAGACATATGCCTCAGTGGAAGACTCAGCTTTCTTTAGGTTAACAAAATAGGAATAGTTCATCGGGAGGATGGCTATGCAGTATGAGCACTTTCTTCTGTCTAGAACACTTTTGGAGTCATATATGGAATTCAGTGTTTTTGGCTGCAGTGAATGTGGATTGAATCTGTTTCAATTGAGGTAGTTCAAGCTGAGAGGGGAATTACTATTTCTCAATTATTTGCCCGGGTTGAGGAAGGATCCTCTCCGGGTTATAATGTTCTAGGAGCGATTTTAATGCTTCATCATTTCCTTTGTGAATGCCGGATTTCGCCAGCTCTACATGGAAATAGTAATTACAACTTAATATAAAGGAGTTTAATTACTAATTTTGTTGCACGCTGTTAAATTAGTACATTAGTTTTTTTAATATTATTTCCTATTGTAAGATTAACTTCCTACTGTATTTCCGGGTGTAAAAAATACGATTTTTAGTTTAGATTATTATTTTGCCTTACGTATTTTTTATGTTAATTAAATTCATCTTTAATATTACAACTGTAAAATAAATTAAATTATGATATAATCAAAAATTCTGAACTAAGGCATACGGCTTTTTGACATGCCCAAAATTTATTTTAAATATATTGTAAACTGTTACTTATGTGTAAGAATAAACGTATTTTTTTTCTTCTTCTAGAAAATTGGACTAATTTTAATGCAAACTTAAATCAAAAACCTTCAAATATAACTCCATTTTTTAATTATTTTGTTTCCTCTTGGTAAACTGCTCGAATTGCCATATAAATCTTTATATTACCTCTATAAGTTTTAAATAATATCATATTATTAAATGAAGTAATAATTTATATTATTATCTTCTTGGTTAAATAAAACTTTGTTTATTATTTCAACGCGTTAAATATATATTTTATATAATAATATATTATACGCTGTTGAAATCTATCAAATCCTGATTTATCGAGGTTCTCTGAGGATTAAAAATTGTTATGTCCTTAAAATGTTTATCTTTGGGTATTATTTCAAGGCGTTAATTATATATTTTATATAGTAATATATTACACGGTTGTGAAATCTATCCAATCCTGATTTATCAAGCTTCTCTGAGGATTAAAAATTGTTATGGCCTTAAAATTTTTAATTTTGTGTATTATTTCAACGCGTTAATTATATTTTTGTATAATAATATGTTACACGGTTGTGAAACCTATCCAATCCTGATTTATCAAGCTTCTCTGAGGATTAAAAATTGCTATGGCTTTAAAATGTTTACCTTTGTATATTATTTCAACGCGTTAATTATATATTTTATGTAATAATACATTATACGTTGGTGAAATCTATCAAATCATTTTGTCAAGCTTCACTGAAGGATAAAAATTGTTATGGCATCAAAAATTGTTATGTTTATAGCAGATCGATCTGTCTAGCATAGTAAACAATTTAAACATGTTATTGTAGTTCGATCCGAACTGGGAAAAACTAACTTGAACAGATGACGCGAGTGCGAACGTCTATTGCCGCCATGTGGCAGTCGGCAGAAGTACTTGATTTTCGAGGTCGGTCGATTTGAGTTTTCTTGCTAATTCTAAAACTCGTGAAAAGCCAAGAACGCGTGAGAAAATTTTGAAAAGGTTGTTTACTAGTTTTCTTATTGCGGTCTGCGTTTCCGATGCGTTTTTCGTGTCTGTTAGACCAAAAAGATTTGGAACGACTAAGCTACATGATTCACACGTACTGAACCAGTCGGTAGAACTAATAATCCAGCTCGTTTTAAATTGCCCTAGGGCAAGAAACGAATATAAATTTTGTTCTTGATTAGTTTGACGAAAGGGCGAGGCGAAGCGTGGAATCGACTTGGCATAGATGGACACAGCAGTCTGTAATTAAATATAGCGAGTGGCCCAGTGAATGAAAACTCGAATACAAAACACCATCGAATTGAACCATTGAAAAAGTGCAGATTCGGCGGTTCCAGTGGTCGAAATACTAGTTTAAATTAGTTAAATGTGGAAACGGGACCGGTTTAGAAACCCAGCATCGTGCCAATTTTTACAAGTGACCGTTAATTTCAGTTCGTCGGCTTTAAACACTATTGAAACAGTTTGAACTTTTTGTTAGAACCATTTTTGCCTACGTGTTATGCTATGCGAACAGGAATAAAAATTTTATAAAAAATCAACATGTTACATCTTAAACAACATATACCATTTTTGCATGCCTAACCTACCCAACATAAACCGCTACACATTCTCTACGATTCTTTAGTATCAATCGTTAGATTTAAATATAAGCATAGATTTGATATTGCTATTAGTTAATAGTATGAATTTGAGATCCAAAAGTTTCTATATCTCTTTTTAATATTTGGTTCTAAAGAGAGCAAGGAAACATTTTTTTTTTTTTTTTTTTTTTTCAAAGGAGTTGACATAAAAGAATCTTATAAAAATATTGTCGAATATCTTATTAATAATAAATATATCATAAAAATAAAGAAGTTAGTTGCTATTTAGACGATTTTCATCCTGCCATTAGACCCAAAATGTATAATCAATAAAAAGTGAAAAAGTCACATTGTACATTTCATACAAATTCATATCACAATATAATATATTTGTTACAGTCAGTAAAAGTTAGCACGTCAATTTCAGATTACATCAGTAAATAATCGTGGACAGACCAACTAATTGTTGCATAGCAACAATTGTTTGATTTTTTTTCAATATTTATTTAATCTGGTGGTGTTCTTCCCAAAATCTCTTTCATTTTTGCTTTCTACTTCTGCCAACTATTATCGTTTTTAATATTGACATTATTGTTTTGGTGGAAGGTGATATTAAAACGCCTGTTTTTGTTACAGCATAACAAAAAACAGGAAGAACTCTTTTCAGTGATGGCTTTTGTATATTGATACTCAGTAACCGTATCAAACTTGCCACAAAAGAGCCAGATCTCAAAGTGGATCCTTAATGAGCCCAAAACCTGATGGAACAATACCATAGACTTGAAGCATGCGAAGAGATTCATAGAAGGGCGATCCCTAAACGTACAAAGGAATTACTGAAAGGCAAACGCAACATGACCAGGATTGTGGCTGGACTCCTGACAGAATACTGCCACTTAAGAAAGACATACATCGGATGGGAGTACAGATAGAAGAAACACGGTGCAGATTTTGCCAGGATGAGGAGGAGACCGCAGAACACATTTTATGTTTTCGTGAACGTCTATGTAGGTATAAATTCTTGCAACTGCAGGAAATCCACAAGAAGATCCTAAACTTAGGAGCCGCTGAATATGGTGGTTGATTAACAACCTGAAGCTGGCCAGTGAGTTATAAAACACAGGGGAGCAGAATAGATCTACTCAGGTCGAGGTGCAAACGCATTGTGGCCGCCTCTTTTATCCCTATCCCTAACCGTATCACAGAAAATATAATGTGAAAAAGAATGATTTTTTTAATTGATCTTTAAAAAGAACCCTTCGGATAAACAATTAGTCATTGCGTCTGCTATTTTATTGCTTTTCATTTAAAAGCCTTAATACTAAAAGATTCAATGTGATTTGAAATTTTTAATATTATTTCATTAAGAAATCGAAATTTTTCATTCTGGCCAAGCATAGGCGGTCATAATATCGATTTTTTTATATTCACTAGTTTATGTTTATTAAAAACCAACATTAAAAGAAAACAACAGCGGCAGTGGGCCGGACCGGCAGAGAAACCCCTGCGTATCAATAGCACTATCGGTGGGTGACCCTCGGAGGATCTGGTTCATAGACCGGGTCGCCCGATTAAGGATAGGCCATGTGTGGTTGACACACGAACACTTACGTTTAGGCCAAAGCCCGCATAAATGTCCGGCATGCTGAGAAAGGTTGCTCGATGTATCCCATCTAGTTGAACGGAGTAATTCCTTTGGCTCCATATAGAGAGCGAGTACGAATGCCACCCGAGAGAAGAATAGGGCTTGAGCAACGAGTGTCTGGGGACCCCTGTTCCGATTTTTGGAGATTTTCTATTGTATACAATGCTTTTTATGTTCTTAACGTATTGAAAGTGAATGTATGTATTGGCGAGAATTTGTAGAGTAATGGCGGAATATTGAGTACACATCCACCTTCAATTAGGATAGTTATGAAATAGGTGTACAGTGTGATGTAGGCATACCGAATACTCTCACCTTAATGGATGGTAATAAAAAATAATGTATTAAGAGTATCTGGGAAAGTGAATATATTTTTTAAGAACTGATTGCGTTAGGAGCAGAAATCGCCTAACCATCTGTCATAAAATCGTTCAGTTGTTTCAAGCTTAATTGGATGATTAAATTATACGCTTAATTATTGTTCATTAGCTTGTGTAAAGCTTTATAAAAGTAGTGGTTTATTTGAGGTAAAAGGATTGCCGTGTAAATTTGTGTTAAAACGGACCAAAAAGCATAAAATAGAAAACAGTGTTTAAATTATTACAGAAATTAGTTATTCGTTTTGTAAACATTTTGCATTAATAAAGCATGTGTTATTATTGTTATTATTATTACAATAATTGTGAAATAGATATTTTTAATTGTTACATTGTCCTACACACTAGCTATAACGTACACAACTACATAATTCTCAAAATATTCATATATGGTCATAATTTTTTCACCCCCTTCTTCACCTAAAACAAACATTGTTTGTAATCATATGGAAAATTAAGGATTTTATGAATTTCTAAATTGTTTAATAATTTATTTTAAATTGCACACAAGTTAATCTTGTTACGAGGTATGATTATATTTTATAATGATACATATGTTATATCAATATTTGGTTTGTTTGCACGTGAAAAAAATTAATGTAAATATTTACAGTTTGATTTGTTATATTTTGAAAGATGTCAAAGAAGATTTTTCATTAGCGGGTAATATTTTACGGCCGATTGAAGTTTTAATGCTGCAGCAGTCAACGTGTTTATATTTACACTGGGAAATGTTTGTTTCTGAAGATTTCTTGCAGTCTTTGAAAGCCAGTAAAGTTTCTCGGGTATAAATATGTTTTATTTTTCTTCTTTTTTCACGACATATTTGCAACTGAGGGAAAGTCACGTCGCATTGTACAATACGAAACCGGAATCAACGTTTGTGTAATCCTGAGGCTGCCGGCTGCATTTCACTTCATCTATTTTAAACAACGCCGTGTTTCATGAGCTGCCAAGAATTTCAGGAGTTCGTTTTTCATTTTTCCTATTTCTATTTCGTATGTTGTCAGTCAAAATTTAGACATAAAATACAATCAAACTTAGTACGGAAGCTTGAAATAATTAAAAGTAACATGAGAAAAAAAATCAAATGTTGTGAAATTAAGTTTATACTTGTATAAACATTTATTAAATAAAAAAGTAATTTTATTAAGCTGAGGAGAGTAAAAAAGCCAAAAAATTTGCAATGTTAAAAAAAGCATAAGCTTTCTACAAACAGTGTATCATAGGTCTTTGAGTTTGAAACTCACATTTTTCTTTTAAATAATATCCCTTGTTTATATCCAAAAACTAAGCCGGTAGTTCGAAGTGAGGTCACCAACACGAACCCTCACTCTTTTTGAATGGCCATCCTGTGTCACAGTCGCCCGAGTTACTGGCCGACGACTAAACACCTGTGGACGTCGAGGCATGGACCCCTCCCACGCCGTCGTTGGCGAATGGGGGCCCATTCACCTGTTTGCCCTTCTAATTCTGTCTAAAATATCCTATGTGATTTTTATACCAGGGGTCGAGGGTTGTTTATCGTTGAAAGTTGTATATTGCAGATTATTCAATAACTTCAGAAAAAAATAAGCTATTTTATACTTGTTTTCACTGTTTTCGTGTGGAAAGTATTCAAGATCAATTGAGTCAGCCCAAAATATATTTATTAACAAAAATATATAACAAAATATACTATAAGAAAAGTAGTTTTTTCCTTATGACTACTTCTAGGTTTTTTTTCATTGAGCAGATCAATCTGAGAGGACACAATAGGCAAGAAGAATAAAGTTAAATAAGTTAATTGACATATGAGCTTCATTTGATTATTTTCTATATTAAAAACAAACATGTTTAGTCTTTTGTTCACAACGTATTTTACACAATAAAATATTAATGTGAGATAAGTTAAAAGACACCGGTTAAAGCTCTTTTGGCAATCCCTTTGTACACGGGCTGAGCACTGTCTTGGACATTGTTAGTCGGTTCTAGAACTGTTGCTGGACTTTTCGCACCGGTGGGTTCCTCGTTGGGTGTTGGCAGTTTGTCATCCTGATTTAATTTCACCGTTGCAGTCGGATCGGGGGTGAGGATCTCCTCTTTGCTGGTGTTCTGCGTCTGTGATTCTATATCGTCGGCGACTTCTGATTCATCCTGAAACCAAAAAAATAATGATATGAATAACTATTTTTATTTCTTCAATACAACTAAGCAACAACAACACAAATCATCGTAAAATTTACTCATGGTCGATAGACCACCTGAGGGGTTGCGTTCCCAATTACATATCTTGACTAGATATGTACATAAAAATCTATAATGTGGGAGGATTATGAACCCACAGTTTATTAATATGTAAACGTACATAAACACTAAAAAAAGAATTAAAAATTATCAATTTTGCAACAAGAATAATAGCAATAAAGATTCGAATATTATTTGCCAACGATATGCATTTAAAAAAATTTATATACATTTTAAAGTTGACATTGAACGGAAGGATTTCCCCTCGAACTGTCAACTTCCTTTCCTGAGACTATTTGAGAATTGTTTTTCGTAGTTTTTGGATTGGGACCAATAGTTTTTAGAGGGAAGTAAATTTGGTTGGCGTCTCCTTGACGGTAAAAAGAAATTCTCGTTTTTCCTACCAAACTTGGTGTTTATATCACCTAAGTTGATTAAAGCCTTTGAGATGAAAATCTATTTAATTTTTTTAACAAAATCCTAAGATCTTTATGTCCTCTATTCCAATTTTCTGGGGAATAAGAAGCGTCTTTTTACATACACATAAAGTTTTTTTTAAAGTTAATATTATTATTGTTTACATAAAACGATTAACTTGATGAGAATGTATTTATAAGCGTGATTGCGATGTTTTTACCACGAGTAGAAAAATCTGTGTTCAAGCTACACGATTTTTTCATATTAAAGGAAGCTTTTATCTCCTATTATACAATGTAATATAGAATGTGTATATATATATATATATATATATATATATATATATATAATGTTGATTATATTAGCACATAAATTGGTAATCAATCAGTTTGTAAGTGTAATTGATAATCTGTCAAATCAGTCTTACGGCATTTATTTTATTTTTTATAACAGCGACTACAACAAGGACATTTCGCAGTCACGCTTATAAATACATTCTCATCAAGTTAATCGTTTTATGTAAACAATAATAATATTAACTTTTAAAAAAACTTTATGTATATGTAAAAAGACGCTTCTTATTCCCCAGAAAATTGGAATAGAGGACATAAACATTCACACAATTTTCATTTTAGGTTCCTAATCGCTCTCTATGTAGCCAAAGAAAGACACCTTTCAATTAAGTTAACTTTTCTCTACATGCCGAACACATACGCTACATCCCAGGCGCTGAAGATGACCTCAATAAAGATCGAAACATTGGTACGGCAAAGAAAATGTTTTTTCTAAACCTACATCACACCAGACCGCATCTCACGATCTCTAAATAATCATTAATTATCTATCTCTAAATATTACACATTCATAATATTGATTGGTGGACTTGATTCATACTTGATTCGGTCTGGTTTTTCCATTATAAAACCCTTTTTTTAGGACCTTAGTTAGGTCTGTGATTTTACTAACTTTCAATTTATTATTTGACACGGTCATGTTGTGATTAAAAACTTTGTGCAGAAATTGTCACGATAATCGGTCATGGAAACTCCTTTGGTATCTAGATTTAGCTTTCTCAATTTATTACTTTAATTTAACACAAGATTGATCCACATTTTAACAAAAAATTGTGTAGAAAGCACAACAGAGTGCTAAATCAATACCTGAAACTTGTCGGACCACCAAGGAGGAGTGTAAACTTCTCCTTCAGATGCAGTGTGAAAAGATGAGCTGCGGGAAGGAGGAGTGCAAGTACATTCACTAGCAGTTATGAACTCATCCTCCTCGCAGCAGGTCTTATGACTTCCACTTCTTGGCGTACCGCTGCTCGAACTGCTCTTGTCCAGACTTCCGTACCAGTCCTGCAAAAACAAATTATTAGCCCGCGATAGACTGACTATCAATACTAGGTTACGAACATCTTGCGTCGGAGAAGTATCGAGTATATCGGAAATGTCCCCTATTTCGTGGTAGGAACAAAGTGCGGCGTCAAGTTGCTCCGCGAGTGCTATCACTTCGGCCACGCGCTCAGAAATTGCATCGACCGCGCTCCGGTTGTAGTCAACACCCAGTCCACTCCTAAAAATACTTTTTTGTAGAAAAATTACGTGTTTAATTAAGACTTGTAGACGTACTGTTGATCGCATAGAGGTTCTTTCAGCCTACTTTTGAGCAATCGGGCTAGTCTGATCATGCGGGCGACTTCGAGCAAAACCGTTTCCCTTCTTTCCAAAAGCTTCAAGAGGACATCGTCTTTGACACGATCCACCTTACGTGACATCTCGATGAGCTCTTGGCAATGCTAAAACGAAATGAATTAAACTCACGTTACAGTGATATTTCGATCGATGAATTACTTTATTTAGAGACCGATGAAGGACAGCTGTCACCCTGAGTCTCGTCATGTGATGATGGCCAGCCGTCTGGAGTCGTTGCCACGACTCTTCTAATTTTACGCTCAAATCCAAATTGGGTGCATCGGTGAGTTTACAGGAGTGCCGCAGTGATAATGCGGCTCTTAATAATTGAGATCCAAATTCATACGTTCCCTAATAAAATCAAGCAGAACATTGTTATCAAGTTGTACCAAAATAGTATGCAGCTTAAAAATTACCTTAGCGGTCTCTTCAAAAGCTTGTTGGTCATCTTTTTGCTGTTGGATTTCTAAAACGTTGCAGCCGACTTGAGAATGTGATTTCATCATGACATCAAACAGATCATCCAGCCATACTACAGCCTACAATTTACATCATTTATAATCAAATAAAAACAAAGCGATGAAATATTTAAATACCTGCGCCGCATCTTTTTCGTAGGAATAAATATGTGAAGCTTGCTCCAAAGTTATCCTCTGAAGTTCAACGTTGTCTCTGAACAATTCACTTCTCGCTTTTGTCATATCCAGAATCTCCCTGATGTTCAAAATGTCTGCTCCATAATCAACCCTTGATCAATTAAATTCATTTTAGAACTAACAAAATTAAATCCAACTACAAACTACCAATTTTTTATGAGCATGAAAACTTAAGTACATTCTTAAGAACATTGATTTAATTTGCTTAATTTTTTTAGAAATTACAATGAATAACGACCATCTTCCGAGATTTCGTTAACTTTTATATTATATTTTCTTACCTAATTTCTCTTCCAAGTGCATCCTTAACAGGCATGGCCAGTAGATCAGTCAATTTTTCTCCTTCTCGTACCAAAGCATCTTCAAGCATATCTAAAAAAATATTTCAATACATTCATTGAATCAAGGACGACTTGAAAATTATAAATATTTACCTATATTTGATTGGCTTTCTTGTAATTGCAAAAGTGTTCCGTGAGCTTTTTCCAATTCCTCCAGGTCCGGAGTCATGACTAGGTTTTCATAAACATCACTCGTCGTCTGAAAATACTCAGATACCAATCGGAAGAACCTTGCCGAAGAGATTAGAATGTTTCGTCTCCTTTCAAGCCTTGTTGCAAAGCTTCTTATGACAAAGTCCATGAAGTCCCTTTGGGCTTGAAGGTCCTCAGGGATCGAGATGCCACACTGAGTCGAGCCGTTCATTTTGTGTAAGAGCTCTGCATAATGACCGTATGTTTCCTATAGTTGCAAAAATAATTAAGAGCGAAATTCATAAATAAAATATCAAAAACAATCTTGCACCGGCCTTCGAACTGGTACGACAGCTGAAGGATCGTGTTTGATACAGCCATTTTATCTAAGTATAGAAAAAAACTATTTCTATTTCTACATTACGATTGTTTGTTTCAAATTTATTATTTCTTGTAAGAAGTTGATTATTGGCGGTAATTATTCTTTTAATGTTTTATTAATTTCTGCTTGGCTTCGACTAGTGACAGTTTGCCAGGATGTTCTCGGACAGACAACCTCCGGGGATCCTAGTACCAACGAATTTGGACGTTTCCAAATTGATGGCGACGTTCCCGAAAATATAGACCATTAGGTCTGAAATGATCAAATTTTTATCTTTATTAATTTACATTTATTATATTTATTATTTATTATAACTAAGGACTGAGGGACGTGGGCTTGGTGACGTGGAGGTGGCCCAGCGCGATGGGCCTTCATCTGTAGTGCGGGACATCCCAATCCGGAACCGGGAATGATGTGGACGGTGGCAATGACATGCACATCTTTCGTGTCGTAGCTACCAAAAAAATGTGATAAAAGAACAGGGAGAAGATCCGTGCATTGCACAGATTGGTACCCCCGGGTGGGGAAGCGATGCCTCCTCTTTCGAAGTTTGGTGGAGTGGTCCTCCGGAAGTCATAGAGACATAGAGATGCCGTCTGTAGCTTAAGGCCGATGCAAAAAACATTTTAAAATATAAAATAATCATTACTCTGCAAAGCAGCTCGAGCGCTTCGTGGTCCCTTCTGAGCTTTTCAGCTGAAGCAATGTCGAACCCTACTTCATTATGAGACGATAGTAGGTCTTCTCCTTTGGTCAAGAGCCACTCGGTGACCTTCTTCACACCAGATTCCAATTTCGTTATTTCCTGTTAATCAAATTGTTTTTAGTTCTAAGTGTTTATATAAAAGAAAAAATTGTACCTTAGCATCAGCAATGGACTTTTGTAAATTTGTCCAAGCTTGGTGCAAAGCGAGCAATCTTGTCCGAGCTAGGCCAAGCTGTTTGTCAATTTTCGCCCTCGTATCAAGGATGTCCTGACCGATAACATCTGTTATCCTTGCAATACCAAAATCGTCCAGCATATTTCTTCCTGAATTTACCATTTCGAGAATAAACATTTCCATTGAATGTTGTCTTGTATATACTACCTTCTTGTATAAGGCTGTTCGCCATATAACAAGTATTGTTGTAAGTAGCCGATGTCTGGGTCATTGTCCTAGCACCATTGTTCAGTCCTTGACGAGCCCCAGTTAAAATTTTCGTAACACGCTCCAACTCAGTTTGGGTTTCGGTGTTCTCTCTAAAGAACCTTTCCGCTTTCTGTAAATATAAACATATCAATTTTTAATAATTAAAACGTTGGTTAATTAAGAACGTACAGTTCTGTCTTGGAGCCAGCTCGCATGGTCATATTCAAGAGAGCCACCCAAATCTTCAGTTAGTTGTGAAAGCTCAATGTGCTTGACCAGTCGTGATTGAGGAATATAAATTGGCTACAAATAGAATATAATAAAGTATAGTTGTGCCAATAAATTGTGATATTCTTATATTCTTTTTTATACCTCGAATGTTTTGCAGACTCTGGTGCAGTTGTCAACGCGTTTGTCCCAAAAAGCCTCGGGCCTAATGACAATGGCCGTCGCAGTCTCTTCGCTCAAGCCTTGCAGGAGGTGACGGATACAAAGCCTGGTGAGACGCCAGTTGCTCTTCTGAGCGTCAACTACAAAAGTCAGCCCTTTTCGCCTCGTCTCATCACTGCAACAATTGTTAATCAGTACCTTCAACTGAATTCCCTCGGTCAACATCTTTACCTGAATATGGACAGGATATATTGGACAGATTTTTCGAGCTGGGTTTTGTCGAAAGAGGCCAAGTCGACGGCCGTCGTGACCTGGATGATGGGTTTGCCCTGTCTGTCCCGTCCTCCTGGAACCCTCAAGCTTCCGACCAGACGCGCGATGTCATCGTTCATTTCGCCCTCATCTATAAGTAACATCACAATTAATCAATTATAAAGATATTTTGTTGCAGCCTGCGAGGTGATTTGAACGACTCCGATCATCCTGACCTGCCATTTATGGTTTGTGGCAAACCAACCACACGCCTACAGGATTGTCGGGACGGTCGGAATAAAAGATGCTGAGTTAGGTGGTCTAGTTTTTTATGATTGTAAAAATTATATTCGGAAGTCTATACGAAGGACAATAGCATGGGCAATGGTTAAAAGGATTTTGGACCACTTGATTGAATCCAAAATTTCGATTCCGTACCTCCATATTTGTTGAACTAAGAGTTTTGATCTGTTGTCAAATAGCCCTTTGTATGGTTTATATCGAATGTTCCATTGTTTTGAATCGAGTGTGGGAGTTCAAAGTAAGTCCTTTGTCGATATGATATCCCATAATACGAACGTCATTGACTGCTGTATAGAGAACAGAGTTGATTAGAATGGAGGCGAAGGGGCACTGCGAAGGGTGAGGTTATTTGCTGTAGCATTTTGCTACGATTTAATTTCGTAGAGTTTAATTTTCAATTTCTTGAACCATTCTTCTAAACGAGATTGTCCTGGAGATTACTGAGGGCCCTTGGGCCAGAGTTTGCTGAATATGATGGCGGCATCCGTGTAAACATTTGAAAGTAATTTGCATCGTTCTAATTCAGTTTGAAGTATTCTGTTAAAGGTATTGAAAGCTACAAAAAGCTTAGAATCCGTCTGGTCATCACTGCTTCATGGTGCTTTATCCGTAATTTGTTTAGAAAGGAAGCCTTCAACCAAATAATTAAGATGACCTAGTAAATATTGCTTATTCAAAAACGGTTGAAGTTGTATTAAGTAATAAATCCTTCTCACGACATATTAGTTTAAAGATGATCTCTTATGTGTGTTTCTTAGTGACCTGTGGTTTCATAATTTGTTGAAGTCGTGAGGAGCGGTCAAGAATGAAGTAGTTTAGAAAAACACCTTTTTCATTTTTTGCCGACCTTTTGACCTTTATTCGGGTCATCTTCAGGCCATAAGGTGCTATTCTTGTGTGTCATATTGATTTTGTGTGAAAGCGTTGTTGGCAACTTTTGTGTGATGTCCACAGTACTTTCACATAAAACTAATATGACACCACGAGAATAGCTCCACACGTTATGCCCTGAAGATGACCCGAATAAAGGTCGAAAGGTCGGCAAAAAATGAAAAAGGTGTTTTTCTAAACTACTTCATTCTTGACAGCTCCTCACGACTTCTAAAAACAAGTTGTTCTAATTTATATTTGTAACGTTTATACTTTGGCACAAATAAAGTATTATAATTATTATCATATCTGGAAAATTTGTAATGTTTAAAACTTGAAAGTTCTCTAACATTAAAAAATAGGGTCCTATTGGACATTATCACCGGTTTCTACCTCCTAACTTTCTAGAAAATAAAAAATCACATAAAAACCTGTAATTACAAAAGAGGTAATTTCAAACCCAACACGGTACAATAATGTATCATTACGAGCCGAGGCCCAACAAAAAACAAACGTTTTAATGACGTGTCAGATATCCGTTTCGGGAGGTTGAAGCTCCGTGTTGGAAAGGTGTTGAGCCGAGGAGCTAATTATAAAAGTACAATGGTGTTAAACACCGTCCTTGGTTCATTTTGTTATGATAATCACTCTATTTTCTAAAAGGCGCGGGCACACGGGCTGGATTAGGTACGTGCCTTCCGCGATAGGTGCCGGATGTGGTGTTAAATAATAGATTTCTTCAGGAAGGATTATTGTGTGGAGACAATGAGTTGTTAGCCCTTTTTGAGTACGAATTCAAATTTATTTAAATCTTTGCTAACCCAGATAATTGTTGACCAAACGTTTTTCCCCCGACAGGAACAGATTGTATTTTTCGCGTAGTATAGTATGAAAACCTACATTTTTTAAAAACCTACAACTCAGTAAATAACAAGTGTTTTTAATTATTTTTAGATGCAATAATTATGAAATAAACTTTGTACTAAACTATTTTGAACTTAGCTTTTATCCGTCAAATTATCCCTTTGTAATTTCAAACTAACCTTTTTAACTTGAATCAAACCATTTTTATTTCAAATTAACCTTTTTACCATCCAACAAACCCCTTTTAGCTTCAAATTAACCTTTTGAACTTTCAATTTAACCCTTTTTAACTTCCAGCAAACCCTTTTTAACTTCAAACAAACCCTTTTTTTATTTCAAATTAATTTTTTTTTAGCTTTCAACAAACCCTTTTTAGCTTCAAATTAATCTTTTTTCTTTGAATTTAACCCTTTTTAACTTTGAATTTAACCCTTTTTAACTTCGAACACTCTTTTTTTTACTTCAAATTAATCCTTTTTAATTTCAAATTAACCTTTTTAGCTTCAAATTAACCTTTTTAGCTTCAAATTAACCTTTTTAACTTTCAATTTAACCCTTTTTAACCTCAAAAAACCTTTTTCACTTCAAATTAACCTTTTTTAACTTTCAATTTAACCCCTTTTAACTTCAAAAAAACCCTTTTTTACTTAAAATTAACCTTTTTTAACTTCCAACAAACCCGTTTTAACTTCAAATTAACCGTTTTTTTCAACAACTTTTTTCATTTCAACTTAATCATTTTACCTTCAAATGAACCTTTCATCATTTCAAATTAACTTTTTGAACATTTAAATTAACCTTTCCTTTAAAGCATTAAAAAAATATTTGGAGATAGTATGAAATATAAGCATGAAAAGTAAACTTTCTGCTACCTGATCTTCATTCAATTTGAGAATTTTTGAAAAATATAAAAGAAGTACTTTTAAAAATAGTTGATTAGAAATTGAAAATGGTTAATTTGAAGTTAAAAGAGGTTTATTTTAAATTAAAAAAGTTAATATTTAATTAAGGGTGATTCTCGAGGTCTGCAGGAAATTTATTGTAAAGTACAAAAGCTGGAATCACCGGTGGACTGCGAGAAGTGCTAAGCTCAAAAAAGTTAATTTGCAGTTAAGAAGGGTTAATTTGAAATTAAAAACAGTTAATTTAGAGTTCAATTAGTTAATTTGATGGAAAAACGCTCTAGATACAAAGAAAGCTTACGAAAAATGTAGTTTACATATACATTTTATTTGTCTATAAAATTCTTAAAAATACAGCTTAATAAATTTTTTAAAAAGAAAGTTTTTCATGTTTTAAAAAAATTTGTGTGTTCCAAAGAATATTGTCAAAATATTTCAGGATATTTCTTCATCAATTTCTTGTTGGATAATTGCATAGTTCTTAATAATTTATCTTTATTGTGATAAATAATTGCTCAAATTATTTTAAGTTATTAAGACTACACAGAAAAATAAAATTTATACACAATCATTGTTTATGCTAACAAAAATAAGCGCCAAAGTGTAATGTCCTAGTTGGCGGAATTTTTTCTGTTTGATAGTTCAAAGTTAATTTGTTTCTGTAAAACATTAACCCTATCTATTGATAAGATGTTTGGAAAAAAACGTGATCGTTTGAAATCTGCATGTTTTCTTTGTCTTTCGCGTGAATGTCAGCGGGTATTTCACATTCCTCGAGAAAAGGTCACCCCTATCGTTGAGAATCCAATGACGCCTGGCCATGAAACGAAATCCCACTGATGATCACGGGGTCTTATCCCTTTACACGTTACAGCTAGGACGAGAATGAGTTTCACCGAATAAACAGCGGCCTCTGTTTTTTCTTCTTTTTTAGTCAAAAGGGAAAAGCCTACATAAAAGGATGATTAATGATTTTTTTCATGTAGATAACATAAGTATGTTTACGACACGGCTCGTTAGAGCAGGATACGTCTTATTTTTCGCCGTTTCAATTATCTAGGATAAACGTTTTACTTTCTAATTACTACTATCACTATCGTTCCAAGCGAGCCTACAATTTTGTCATTATTTACCTGACATTAACATCCACGTAACGTTACACCGTTCTGGGATTATTTTCGAACAAACTTCAACGTCAACATATATTTATTTATTTTTTAATCCTAGTATAATCATCATTTGATCCGGCTAATCTCGTTATAAAAGGTCAAAAGGGAATAACTTTCATAAAAAGGATGATTTATAATGTTGGTTCATGCGGTTACATTAGTAGGTTTATTCCAGCTGTGGGCCTCTTTAGAAAGTCTAAGAGATTTACAAAACCCGAAGCGATCATAATCATCAAAACATGATTGAAAATTTTGGAATATAACCGATTATCTCTAAAACTTGGTATTTCATTGAACTTAATCAATTTCAAGTAAACCTGATTACTTTGTAAAATAATTTCCTATTCAACGGCCTGGGGAATGATTTTTTAAAAGGATCTTTATCGCAAGTTTGTTATGGACTGTGTGTTTTAATTGTTTCAATACCGTTACCCGCGCCTGGACCGTTCCAAATTGGGCAATGCTCTTTTTAACCCTGTCTTGTTTAACGAGCCATTGACGTACCTTAAAAAAAATTATTACAGAGAAAACATGGAAAAATGACATATTTTACTATTGCGATGTCAAAAATAATAATGAACGATTTTATCAAGTGCAAATAAACCGATAAAATGTACGACCTGTAGTTTTTCGTTTGTTACATATTAACAAACAATGGAGAAAGGGTATTTCGACGTTTTACTATTGAGTCTGAACAAATTATTGAAATAAACATATAGTATATAAGATACATATATCATTTTATTGTGTTTTAAAATAAACAAGTGTTGAGTCTGTAACAAAATCATGTGAGTTACGGTATTTTTCGTGCGAGTTTAGGTGTGATTCCTCTCTGCCTTTGTTGGTTTATATATGTTCTATAGATACGTTAGAATTATTTTTACCTAATGATGTTGTTTTTGTAGTTTATTAACAAACAATGGAAAAATTCCATCGGCTGATCCTAAATTTAATTACTTACAATCAGCATGAACAAATGTAATTACAAGGTAGGTTTAATGATTTATTAAGAATGACAATGGGTTGAGTTTAGTTTCTAGTCTATCTTTAATTATATGTGCTCTTCCGGTATGTTTCTTTTCGGTTTGTATGTCTATATTGTCGTATATGTGCACACCTTCTGTACCCGAAATAGGGATGCTTTTTTTGGTTTAAGCCCGTGCTAGTCCTGCATATGAGTTGGTCAGAGAGATAGAGAGAGAGAGAGAGAGACGCTTTGTTTAGCCACATCGTTAGTTCTCGTACTCTTACTTCCAACAACGTGGGATTTGGAGAGAAAGAGAGAGAGAGAGAGAGAGAGAGAGAGAGAGAGAAAGAGAGTAGTCGCAGAAAAAGTGAAAGGGAAGAGAATGGAGAGAGAGTGAGAAAAAAAAAGAGGGATAGAGAGATTGGTTTATTTAACCACGCATCAATGAATCTCATGGACCTCTCTTAGAGCCACCGTGGGAGAGGTAGATAGATAGAGAGATTCACAGAAGGAAAACGAGAGGAAAAGAGAGAATGAGAAAGGGTAAGAAAAAAGATAAAGATAGAGATATAGATAGATAGATTGTTTTATTTGGCCACATGGACCTATCTCAGATCCCAAGGGAGAGAGAAAGAGAGAGAGAAAGAAAGGGCGAGAATACACCCATAGACAAAAAGAGAGAGAGAAGAGAGAGAGAGAGTGAGAAAAGAAAGTGAGAGAAAATACACACAGACAGAAAAACAGAGAGAGAAAGGGAGCTTTAGAAACAGAAAGAGAGAGAAAGAAAGAAAGGGAAATTGAGACACAGAAAAATAAGAGAGAGAAAGAGAAAGAAAGAGAGCGAGAGATGTAGAGAGAGAGAGAGAGGGAGAGACACACACAGAAGAATTTACAGAGATTTACAGGGGTACATTACAAAGAAAGATACATGTACATAGATTTAGACACAGAGAGAAAGAGAGAGGGAAAGGTAGTAAATAGAGTGCTTTTCTTTTACAACAGCCTTTCTTTACCTCCTTGAACTTGTAGGAGTTTCAAATTTCAATATTGTCTTAAAGCTTGATTTTTTACTTTATCCCTTGTCCAAATGAAGTTTTATCCGACGATTTTAAATAATTGTTAATTCAAAGTTAACAAATACCTAATCCCAAGTCCTCTCACTTGATTATAAATTACAAAAGGAACAAGCATCCATGAATCAAAGCACCGTTAAAGTTGACGGATCGCCAGAACACGTCTGATCGAGAAAATATGCAAACCTGATCACTCCAAGTGATTATAAAACCAACTGACCTATCAACCTTTGGGTCGCATTTTACAGCGTCGAAGGGCCTCGCTCGTCGTACTTGGGTCGTGTCACCAGCGTGACTTTCCTCTTTTGCTTCATGGCACTGGAACAAAAACAAAAACAAATTCATTACGATTTACTTATTTCAAAAAACAATAAAACAAGAGGCCGTTTAGCCTGGGAACCATTGGTTTTCACGGTCATTACTAAACATACAAATCTACTGCCTTAATGTACTTTGATTGAGGGACAGAAACGTGCTTGAGAATCCAACTTACCCATTATACACACGCGCTTATGAATATTTAACATAAAACAAACGTTCAACATTATTTACTTATGTTTGTTCGTGAATGATTTTCTTTTTTCACCAAGAGCTCCCATTTTACTTATTTTAAATATTTTAAATCAATCTAAAAACGATAGTTGCTAATCTGTATGTTATTTTAAGGGTTTTTCATCTGTAAAACAGTAAGCAGATTCTCCTTTCGCAATAAAAAGGTTTAAAAGATTATCACATACAATAATCAGAAAGCACATGAAATAATTACAATTATTATATATAACATATAATAAATTAGCAAAAACTTTGTCAATAATAAAATTACTTGTTTTAGAAGGTTATATATCAAAGCGTTTTGGTTCTGATGCTTTCAGTTATCAGAAATTTAAGCATCTTAGTAATGAACAGACCTTAATGACATAAGGATGATAATAAAGTTTTTCAAATGAGAGTTTTTGCCTATTTTGCTAGCCATTTCTACTTTTTGACGTTGATGATGATGATGTACGCAAAAACCTGCTTAATATACAAGCATATTTCGCCAGAAGATAATCATGCAGCTTCATAACTTGAATTCTTAGCATGTAAAAGAACTTAATTATCCTTTCGAGTTAAAAAAAACTCCTCTGCCTTGACCGAATTATAATCCTCAACCTAGTAAAACAAGGATTTCCGATTACTCCAAATAAGGCTTACCACACATTTATATAAATAAAGTAGAAGAAAAAGACCGCAAAAATTACTGTTAGCCGGTTGCGCCTCCCCTTTAATGAAGGATGAGTATGTTATTAGTGGGAAACCGCGATTTAGGGCTTTACACCACAAGCCTTGCTACTTTATTTAATAGTTATTCGAAAAATAATCAGATATACGATAAAACCGGTCACGGTTAAAAGCTGAAGCACCCTGGAGTAAGGTAGGCAATCTTAGTACTACGTAGATTTATGATTAATATTTCGATTATAATTACATTCCGACAAGGCTTTTTGTAGTAATTTTTAAGCAGCTATCCATAGATTCTCAACATTACCCCCTTGAGAGGGCACTCTCAACACGACACGCAAGAAAAGCACAATTACGCAGAAAACAAACACTTTGAGCCCTGAAGATGATCTCTATATAGATCGAAACGTTGGCACGATAAAGAAAATGTTTTTTTTAAACCTACATCACACCAGACCGCATCTCACAATTTCCGAATAATGATAGTAATAAAGTTCTTCAAATGAGGGTTTTTGTCTATTTTACAAGCCATTTCTAGTTCTTGATGTTGATGATGAATGATGGCAAGGTTTACAACAAGTCAAGTTCAAATTTAACTTCAAATATGATTCATCTTGGTATAAACGATTGTATTTTTTTTTAAACCGTCATACGGGGTGCAAACTTATGTAGTTTTGACTCCACCTGGGGCGCAATCAGTTCGGAATTATGTGGGTGTGGCTTCACCTATGATCTAAGCCTAACTTTTACAAAAAAAACAACCACACTAAAACAAACTACCACATAATTGGAAAAAGTAAAGTAAACACGAAGCTAAAAATGCTAATTCTCCTTTAACTTACAAAAATGCACTTCTTCCCCTTGCAATTTCAGAATAAATTTTGCGGATTTTTCAAAGATGATTCCAGGCTGAGAATCTGATCCAAAATTAAGTTGTTGACTAGGCTCGCCTTCTAACCTTGACGTTACGCCTTTTGCAATTTTCTTCTTCAGTAAACAGCACACTTTCAAACAACGACAATGTAAAATTAGTTGATGCGCGTTGAAGAAATCCTGACTGAAAAATGTTCAACATTGAAAGACAATTGAGCTCATTTTACCCTTGAATAATAATCACCTCCGACTAAATCTTCTTCAGCCTTGGATTTCGCACATGAAGGTTAAAAATAAATGATGTACTCCGGTCATCTTTAGTTATTTTTAATACTATTTTCTTATACAGGATATATCCACTTCTACAGTCCACCCATTTAATTCGGAAACGATTAACCTTAGCAAAAAATTGTGTTATACAAACCCCAAGTTAATTTTGGCTAGGAATCGCGTGGTAGTAATTTAAATTAACATAATTTTCTCATCTAGCTGGGAAATGACACTAATTTGTTATTTTAAATGAGAATATCATATTTTTATTGTACATTTCATTTTAAGAGCTTATTTTGTGCGACTTCTACTGAAAGGAAAATTTTGATAGGAATGACTATTTCTGAGTTACGCCCGACGAAGAAGCGTGAGGAGGATATGCTTTTTGTAACAAGATGGCCCACTTCCTTTATTTAAAAAAACGATTAGCATTAGCAAATTAATTTAGAATAGGATTCGTAGTAACGCTAACTTTGCTATTTTAAATGATAATTCCATATTTTTATTGTACAATTTGTTTCTAGAGTTTACTTTATGCCGCTTTTACTGAGAGGAAAGTTTTCCATTTCCGAGTTATGCCCGGTTTTTTTGGTTCTTTTTTTTTTTTTTTTGCAAGCAAAAATATATTCTCACTTCTTTTAAACGAGTTATGGTATTATCTTCCATTTTGTTTTACCTTTCTTCTCTAATTGCAAATATGTATTTTAAAAAAATATGAATGTTTCTATGTTCTGTTATGTCTAGTTAAATTTCGAATGTCAATGACATCTTTTATTGTAATTTTTGTTTTTGTTATTTTCTCGATGTTAATCCTCTTGTAATCATTTGGGTTCTATCATACAATAATGTTTTCTCGGGTAATCATTTCATGTTCTGCTTTCCAACAAAAATGTACACAAGCGCCGAGAAGAGAGATATGCTTGTTGATTTTGTTGATGCTGGGCAAAGTTTTTTTTTTTTTTTTTTTTTTTCAAAAAGTAATATAAACTAAGCGCAAAAGCAATCACATGATCCTACCCTATTCTGAGACGAATCCTATTCTAAATTAATTTGCTAATGCTAATCGTTTTTTTAAATAAAGGAAGTGGGCCATCTTGTTACAAAAAGCATATCCTCCTCACGCTTCTTCGTCGGGCATAACTCAGAAATAGTCATTCCTATCAAAATTTTCCTTTCAGTAGAAGTCGCATAAAATAAGCTCTAAAATTGAAATGTACAATAAAAATATGACATTCTCATTTAAAATAACAAAGTTAGTGTCATTTCCCAGCTAGATGAGGGAGTTATGTTGAAAATGTTACTACCACGCGATTCCTAGCCAAAATTAATTTGGGGCTAATTAATCACAATTTTTTGCTAAAATTAATCGTTTCCAAATTAAATGGGTGGACTACAGAAGTTGGTAGACCGTGTGTAATGTACTGTCTATTGCCTGGATAAAAATTTTATGAAAATCCATTCTAGGAAGAAAAGGAACTATACTAACCGACTATAGAAATTAATCAAATGATTACAATCAAACAGTCTAAAAACTAAGTCATAATACAAAAGATATTACTTAATTGTGATTTCTTTCTATCAACTTATTTTAGTAGGATCGTAATAGGTTTCAGTTATGTTGGAGATGATGTGTCGATATTTGTTTAGTGTAAAGAGGTTAATGCTGTAAATGTTGGCTTTACATCGATTTTAATGCAGTTCCTGAGCTTATCTTGAGAATCGAGCTTATCAAGTAGGAGCAAGTCCACCTGTGACCATGTTTCTTCTTCTTTGTTTTAATTTTTGTTGAATATGCAGTCAATATTAGCTTGTTTACTGCTTCAGTGTTTTTTATTTGTCCTTTCTTGTTCTCCCACACTGTGACTGAGTGGATATAAATTGATCTACCTGACCAGAAATAAAAAAAGTCGTACATTTCATGCGGACTTCGTTTTGCCACACATCTAGTCGCCCTCCGATTCAAAAATACCAAAAAGGATTTAAAGCCCCATTAAGCTTGTCTGCAGCCTGACAGATATGTGAAACCTGGGAGGTGTTTGGCAGCGGCGAGGGAACGACCTTTGAAAACCGGTAGGTTTGGGCGGCGTGGAGACGGCCGTCCCACCTTCTCCCATTCCCTCTTTCTTTCTAAGTCGCCTTCGCCCTTGATCCATTCCCGACCCCTTTCTCCAAACCAGCACCGCGCCTGGCATTCTTTTTGGACCGGCGGACTGCAAGTGCAACCACAAGGTCTAGATCTGTGAACCGTTAAACCACTATTCCAAAAAAATCGCTCTCCCAAGGATTGTTACTGGAACGGTCGTCTAAATCAAAAATCAAATTAGCAGATTGCAGAAGCAGTCCAATTCAAAAATTAACAACCTCAAGGTACTCAAAAATTCTCTTTAAACCACCAGTCTGCCTCTCTAAAACAAAATAAATCACCGCCTCTCTACAAACGACGAGGAAATTCGGACAAACAGGGAAAATCAACTTGCTGACAACTATAAAATTAATTCCATTATATTTAGTGGTCTACTGATCAAATTACTTCTTTCAACTAATTAATCTTTTTATGTAAGGTTTTGGTTGAAATGGTTCGAATCCCGCTCTTGACAATTTCATTTCAACCAAAACCTTACATAAAAAGATTTATAAAATTAATCTTCCTTGATGTTAAGTATCCGATGCATACATCGGTTTTGCTCGACTGGAGAGCGAAAATGATAAATCATCAATCGTGACTGATTTATCAGCGCGATCTGGACGAAAACCCTGGGGGCTTTTCATAATGAAAAATAAACAGTTAACATTCATACTGTTAATAAATGTTTAAACGCGCTTTATTTACATGTTGTCATTAATGATATGTTGATGGAGAGAAGTAGGCAGGATTGAAATATTTTCACACTAATTAATCTGAATTATTTAGATCATTTATTAGAGATATTCCTAATTTTCTCTCAATGGGACCAACTATAGTTTTAATGATTATTCGGAGATCGTGAGATGCGGTCTGTGTGACGTAGGTTTTAGAAAAACATTTTCTTTATCATGCCAACGTTTCGAATTATTATTGAAATCATCTTCTGGCACTCTCAACACGACACACAAGAATGACAGATCTACATGGAAAACAAACTCTTTGAGCCCTGAAGATGATCTCAATGAAGGTCGAAACGCTGGAACGATAAAGAAAATGTTTTTCTAAAACATACCAGATCGCGTCTCACGATCTCCGAATAAACATTGACTAACGATCACTATAGTTTTAATTCCTCGTGTAATCATGGTAAATGATCTCGAGATAGTTCCAAATAAATTATGTATGTAATATAACCCATATAACCAGCAATAACATCATTAATTACAATCTAATAAAGTTCTAAGAAAACTACTTAGTTCAGTCGTCGTTTATTTAGTATCAGTTAACAATACTATTTTTCCACAAACAATACCATCCAATACTATATTAATTTCGTTAATGTATAGCCATATTTAAGTTATATTTATAAGATTTCGTACTAACTGTAAACTAAATAAATTGCAATATTTTATTCGTATTTACTATTATTTTTATTTATGAATGGTAACAGTAAGAAAAGCGATTGTCAAATTGTGTTCGTCATTGGATTAGATAATTTGGAATTTGATCTTTTTCGTTCGGTTTATGTTGATTAATTTTTAAACGGACCAAGGGTAGTGCAATTTCTGGCGTGTGGATACAAAGAAGGATCAATTGCACAATAAGTCATAGTAGAAGAAAGACTTTCGTCACCATTGACCCAAGATGGAACAAAAGAGAATTTATAAGATTTTCTTTAGACGGTTTGTCAAACAAAACTAATTTCATCATATAAATGTTGTTGCTCGAGCCTTTTAAATATCAGATAATCATAAAAACCTTGAACTTCAAATTTTTATCTGCCTTACTTCAAATATATTGCATCATTTGTGGTATGTTTACTTATATATTTGATTGGTTAAATAACAGATAAACCAACTATTTACCCAAACCTTTATAAAAGTATAATCATTTCAACAGATTTAGGGTATTTTGTATTTTCATGACAAATAAAATTACAAAATTACCCGACCGCATCTCACGATATCTGAATAAATAAAATTACATTTATTGATACGTAGATTCGTGTTATTTTTAGTACCTTTAGTACTTATGATAATTTAACACTTCAATTATTTGTATTATAAAAAAATACATTTTAAAAAGATTTACAAGCACCTTTGAACTTACATTTGTGGCAATATTTACCTAGCAAAAGAAAAACTCTCCTGATTGACAAATATTTATGAAAAATACTTATATAACATTAATTAGGCATTTTGAAAAGAACCAAAATCGTCGTGAAAGTAGGTTGAAATAATTGTTTACAATGCAACGCCTTTTCTGTACTGCTATTCAACCGCAAAATTTCAAACCCCGCGGCTTTCTCTGCCTTGATTGCTGCTTTGCGGCTTTCTTAATCCGTTTTCTAACCGGCCGAATTAACGAGAGACTGCAATATTTCCATTACAACCAGATATCTGCGAGACCTTTTCATGGATGACGTAACATATTTTACATTCAAATATAAACTTGAACAAAGGAATTTTTGATGTGAAAATGCACCAACGTTTGAAGACATTTCACACACATTATGGTTGTAGTTTCAAACAGCAACGAGCTGAACCGTTGCCATGTTGTCAAGACAGTTGTGACACAGCAAGAAAAAAATGTTGTTCAACTTCATCTTGTAAATAGGGGAGAGTGAGAGTGAGAATGCGAAATGAAAGAGTGAGTGAGAGCGAGCGTGAGAGAGAGAGATAGTGTAGTGTGTGTGTGTGTGTGTGTGTGTGTGTGTGTGTGTGTGTGTGTGTGTGT